TTGCCTTTGCCCACGACGTTATTCCCAACGCGTCCAGGGGATCCCGCGGTCTCCTACGTTGACGTCAATCCCCCCTTCGTCCCCCAAATCCAGAAACTCCATAGAAAACTAATTTTTGGATATACCATTAAACGTTCTAGCATTTCTGTTTCAACCTTCACCGTTAGAAATTTTATAGAGAATAACCTACAAACGTCCTGAACCTGATTAACCCTTGAGTGGATTATCGGGGCCGCTGCTTTATTCTTTAAATGCTTTAAAGGGAAGTTGATTTCCATTTACCAATTCGAGATTGAGAGTCCGCTGGAGGGTTAAACAGGAGCGCAAAAGGTGTTGAAGATTTCGAAAGGCGGAAGCGGCGGTCAACTCGACCGGAAAGCACCGGCGTTTTTCAGCGGCTCGCGTTTCCGGAGGGAACAGCGGCCACCCTCGGCGGAGGTTCCTAATGTTTGTTCACGGCGGTGACTTGGTTCGCGGACCGGTATTCAGTGAATCAGAATGGTCGCGCAAAGGATTCGTAGGCAAACGGGAAGGCAGGAAGGGTGGTAATCGGCACGTTTCCGTGCGCGGCGCGCGTCAGTGGCGTCGTCTAGGAGGAGAAACGACGTCGACCGGCCCCCGACGGTTAGACGGAGACGAGGGCGAGCCAACGTTCTATCCCCGATTGCCACCCCTTGAGCCTCGACGCAGTTACAATGTCGGAGGGGTTACGGAGATCGGTGTGTGTAAACGTTCACTTCAAAGCAAATCAGCTATCGTTACGCACGGGAGCACCGACGTCATCGTTGTCCGTACCCGTTGCTGTTGTTGTTGTCGCCGTCGCCAGCTCTTTTGAGAATTAGCTTTCCACTCGTTCGAGGATAACGCCTCGACGCATCGGAATTGCGGACGGGTTCCTTTGCGTGCTGTCGCGACCGACGCCTCGGCGAACGCGTCCACGGGTTTTTTTATCTGCGCGCGGATCCATCGCTGGTAATTGCAATACCGTCGATGAATAGCGTGTCAAGGATCTTTCTTATCATCGTCGTTCGCAAACTATTACGCGACAAATATTCTCCTCGTACGCTCGCGTTTTGCCAACCCTTACTATCGTCCACGTAGGAAATATTATTCTACGATGTTTCCAAAGATTTATTTCGCTGTTCTATTTAGAGTGAATCAATAAAATGGTAATGATAATAGTGCGTTTATAGGGAACGTTCCACGCACCCGACGATTCAACCGTGTTCCGTTGTTTCCGTGATTGGAAATGCTCGACACGGGCGATGAAGGGGTAAATCGTCGAGGGTAGGATTTTTCCCTGTGTTCGACGGTCAGCGTTGGCCGGTCTGTCATCGACGAAATGATTTCTCGACCGCGGGAGATAACGGCGCGTCGACACGGTTCGCGGATGGCTACGAAAACTCGGGGATGGCGTGACGATCCGGCGCGGTCGAACCCGTGGGGTTGAAACGGCCAGAGTCCCTCGGGTCCCAATTACACCGACACCCGATCCTGGCATTACAGCCCGGCTAATTCAAGGGGCGAGGAGCGTCGCGTATAAATCTCGTACCCGTTGATTGTACAGTTTCAATTCCGTTTGTCGTGCCCGTCGACGACTTTTTTCTCGCTCCTCCACGCCGCTTCGATCGCTGTTAGCCGGTACCTCGCGGGGCTAATTTGCGTACGTAATTCTCGCTCCCGAATCTTCGACGGGAATTACAAGGTGCGTATTATGATCTTAAAAAAATGCCCTTGGAATTTGTTATACGCCAAGAAACGTATTCTGTTCGATCAACTACGGAGAAAATTCTATTTTATAGATCGTAACGGAGGACTATGAATTTTTCCCGTAATTCCTGTCTCGTGGCCAAAGGTTGCCAAGCGTTCGGGGAAAAGCGACGCAGGTGTCAAAGGTCTCGCGAGTCGAAAGAAACCGAAGGGAGCAGGTTGGGGGAGGTTTAGGGATGAAAGGGGTGTTTCCCTCTGGCGACAAAAGGTTTGGGTAATTACAAGGAGGCCGCAAGTTCCCGTAAAGCGGCGGCGAGGGCAGCTGTCGGTTCCCAAAGTGGTCCGTTCGCGCTCTCGGTCCCGGAGGTTTACGCGCGGCGTGGAGCTTTTTGCCGTAGAGAACGTCGTCCAGAGTTTCCGGTCGCGGATCGAATCCAGAGCGCGCTTCGGTCCGTTCCGCGTTCTATTTGTTATCCTAGCGCCGTCGACGACGAGCCTTGTCCCTCTCCTCCATGGCGATGACGAGGTTATCGTTCGAAAAACCAAGACCTCGATTAACGACTCTCGAAATCCGGTTAACGTAAACTCGGGGACAACGTGGGAAATGTCGATCGCCGGGGAAAAACCGGTGTCTTTCTCGCGTGTACACGCGTTTCTTGGTTTTTCTTGCTTCCGAAAGCAAACGTTCGCGCATGGTCGACGGGATTTCGTCGTATCTCCGTGAACACGGACCTGCAAAGGTCGTCTCATTGTTCGACGCGAGCAACGCGTGTCCCATTAGACGTCCCTCGGCCCGCGACGAACGAGAAACGAGCGCCGACTTCTCCTGCAACCCCTGCTAAGATAATACGGCCTCCCGGCGGGGGGTCGGAGATTTCAACCTTTACTGAAATGCCAAGCGGGGCTTTAAACGGGCTAATAACACCGCGGCCCCTTCCAACCCTCCCGCGAGTCTCTCCTTATTGCGCAAATTGCCTCCGTTGCCAGAAGCCTACGACGCGTCCGATAACGTCTTCGGGCTTTCTGGATTTTCCCTAACGCTTTCCTACGATATTCACTTTGGGAACGAAACAATTATTTCTCAAGCTGAAATGTTAAAGGGAATGAATCGACGTAATTGTATTCATAATTTTCAAGACACGAAGCTGATCTTATATTGCAACCCTTTGATAACTTCTTCGTCGAAACTCTCGAGAACATGATTCGAAACAAAACGATCCTGCTAGCTGGATGAGCTCGTCGACCACGCTAGTTGCTAGACAGCTCTATCGACACCCACTTCTCGAAAGTGGTCGTGCAAAAACCTCCGGCCATGACTAAAGTCTTTGATCGATAATTATTGCTACTCCGTTCGACCTCTGTCGAAAAGGTTCCCCGGTTTCCTCGTGGCACGTAGCAAGTAAATCGATGAGGATAGGAGATGAATAAGTCTAATTATTGTGCAATAATTCATTCCTGGTTGAAAGACTCTAACCGCGTACGGAGTGATAACCGACGCAAAGGCTCTTGGTAGTTCATTTCCCGCGTCATTAACGCTCAAAGTCCATTCTGAGAAAGATCCACCGCGCGCAATCGGATTCCCTCGAACGGAAGTCGATCGGGTATCGCGGAAAGGTTCCCTGGCCGGGTCATCGCACGCTAAAGTCTACGCTTTAGTCTCGCCGTCCGGCATCGAGCACAATACGGTCCGTTTCTTAATGTATTAAAGACGCGCGCGAAAGCGACATTACTTACGGAATAACCCGATAGCCTGTCCCGCGCGCGCCTTTTTATTTACGCGGCGGTCATTAGCCGAATGAAAGACGGTGGTCTCGACAAGCGGGTGCGTCAATATCCACGGGATGATCGATCGTCCCGGGTCGTAGCCGTAGGAGGCCTCGCGCAAATTAGGTATCGTCTTACGTTCCCGCCGCGGCGGCGAATCCTCGAAAAAAACCGCGTCCATTGGCCGTGGCCACCGAAATCCGTCCCGGTAGCATCGATCACGCGGCGAAACCGTACACGCGCACCCTGGATGTTTCGCGCGGAAAGATAAAGGTTTGTATGGTCCTAGGGGGCGGCGGACTATTTCCTATATTTGCGATATCGCTTGACATTATGGGCGGCGACGGGGGTGGAAGCGGGGACGGGCGAAGACGAGGGAAACCGGCGCGCGAAGCGATGGATGGGCTGTTCCGTGAGACCGGCTGTCATATTCATGTATTGACACTGAGCTGGTTGACTAATGGACTGCTGTTGTCACAGGCTCGTGTTACCGCGGGGGGCCCGGCAACTCGTTTTTCCTGCGAATCGACCGAAACGAGTCCACGCGCCGGCGACGACTTCCCCGGACTCCGGAGTCCGGCGTCGCGAGCGCAACCGTGGAATGAAAAAAAAAAAGAAAAAAGGAAAAAAAAAGAGAGTAGCAAAATCGACGCGCGCCATCGCGCCGCAGTCCCGGATACACCCTGTTCCTTTTCATTCCGCCCCGGCAATATAGCCAGATCGCCGGGCCAGACCGTCCGCCCCGAAGCGCGCGGATATTCCTCCCGTCGCGTCGGTCTTCTCGACTTTTACATATTTATCGGGGCTCGCATTGTGCTCGCGTCAGCCGAGACGCCGACATCTTTTGCCGGGAAAATCCGTGATATTGAATTTGCCCGGCCCACGCTCTCCCCCTCCCACTCTCGTTTGCCTTCGCCACTCTTTCGCCGTCGACTCTGGCCGAATCGATTCGCTCTCGCGTCCGCTACGTGCTTTCGAAAATTTCGCGTGCCCGCGTGGAATCGATGATTCATTCCGCCGACGGTCCCGGAATCTACCGGCGACGATCTCCCCGGGGGCCCCCGGTGGGGCCGCGGCACAATGGAGAAATCGGTACGCGAGCCGAAAAGAACAGAACTCGAGCGGACAAAGGGGTGTGGGTGTAGCAGGATCGACGAGTAGGTGGTCGCGGACGACCGTTCTATTACGGACTGACATTCGATACAAACTCGGCCGCGGCGATCGCTCCGACTTTGCCTGCGTCTTCCCCGCCCCCCCTCGTCAACCCTTCCATTAAAGTCGCGACGCTGCGAGCCCGCGGAAAGGCTCGTTCCAGGGTTGGTACGAGGGTTCCGGGGTTCGCTGACACGAGCCTCGTCGAGGAATAATAGGACGTGCTCGCCAACCGGACCCTGTCGACGCTTTATAGCGTGTCTCTTCGCGACTCCTTGATTTATCGGCGAACCGTGAAGCGCGTCGCGATTTTCCCGATGGCCGTAAAGAGACGGGGCGTAAAACGCATGCAAGAGTCGAAATCGAGTACTTACTTCGGACTTTCTGCTCGTCCTGGAGCTGACGCTCGAGGCTGTCCTTCACCTCCCTCTCCCGCAGAACGTCCATCTTGAGCTCGGCTGAAATCACAAGCAAACGGTTCCTTTCAATCCACGAGTTGCCTAATTTCAAACGGTGTTCATGCACGGACGAATGGGAACATTGTTTGGAAGGTGGACAGGGGTGGGTGACTTCCAATACGTGAAGCTTTCTTATTTTTACCAATCGAAATTGCAAGCAAACCTCCTAAGCTTATTTATCTCTAAGAAGATGAAATGAAATGGATTTATTTGGGATTCTGGAGGTTCTCGTATCCATCGCGGTTCCGTGACCTCGAAATATGGTTCGGGAGAATATCGTACGGTCGAGCGGGTTCGAGATTAAATCCAGCGGACGATGGGCGGCCCGGATCTCGCATAGTTACCTCTAATAGAATTACACGGAGACGTAGCCGGTCGTAGCTTGTCTCCGAGACGCCTTTCTCCATCTTGGCGAAGGGCCCTTTCCCCCTGGGACCAGGGGGGTGGCAAATTAGCCATTTCGAATCTCAGAGATAGGGTAGTTTCGTCCGAGCACAGTCGAACTTCTAGTTTTCCCTCGACGTCTCGGTTTCGAGGCTCGCGAAAGATCGCAGGTCGCGGCCTCCGAATGCCTCGAACTCGATTATCGACGTCTCGAAACCCGAGTCGATTAGGTTCGTCGGGCTCGAGGCCCGGGGGAGAGCCTGCCCTTCGTCGGGAAAGTAAAGAAGCGGCCTTTCAGCCGGTAAAACGTTTCCGGGCTTTAAATCAAGCAGGCTAATTCGGTTTAACGGAAGAAAAGAAACCGTGGGACGGGGTGTAGTCACCCCTCGTCCGTTTCTGGTCGTCTGCCCCGCGAATTACATCGATGCCCAATGAGCCGCGCGGCTCGTAACGCGCGTCTCGCGCGGCTCATCGACTGATAAGCTGCTCGTTAGGTCGTCGCCAATTTGCGGACATTTCGCAGAATCGTTTCTCGCGCGATTCCCCCGGCGCGATAAAACGCTGCGGATCGGTTCGCGAAACGAGATTTAAGTACGAGTTCGTACCTTTTTAGTGCCAATTTGGTGAAGTTCCTTGGAATATAAATTTAGCGACGCCTCGTTAGTCGCGCCCTCGGAATATGGTTCCTGGATTTCGAGCCCTATTCAGGATGATCATGTCGCGTCGAGAGCGTTCGACGTTCGCTCTTTACCTTTTGCACTAGAACGATGGTCGTTTTTAAAGCGGTACGATTGTTATTCATTCCTGACACGCAGTATTTCGATGTGAAAACCGACTGGTGAAGTCTATGATATCGTTTCTACTTGTTAAAAGTATTTCACGCATCGATGCTGAAACAACCCTCAAAGAAACTGGTTGAAAATGCAGAAAATGTTCCATTATGCATTCCACTGCTTTGAAGTTTATAATTGTGCGCGTTCGTTTAAAATGTATACATCGGTGAGACTATAATTACTCGTTACTCGGTATTTTCAGACCTTTAATTTGTGACTTAAAAATGTATTTTACTCCCCCGTCGCGCGTATCTTGGAAAAACGAAAATTTATTTTGTTCGTACAGCTCCAACAAAAATGAAGCTGTCGAGTTGAAATTTGTTTTACATATCGTTTGAAGGATATCGAACAAATATGGGTGCGGGTTTTTCAGTTCGATCGTTCCTCGTAAAAGTTGCTTTTTATAAATGACTGGGAAAAATTGCTTTTTCGCATTTACTTTTACAGCATTAAACTCGGCGCCGACGCGAGTACAAATTCGTGGAATAAAATTGTCTGCGCGAAAAGTGGCAGTCTGAAACGAGTCTGAGAAACCGATAACCAAGTCCGAAAGTTCATCAATTTCTTAATAAACTTCCATCTAAACAAGGAGAACTATTTTCTAAAAATTTTGCCATAACTCCAAAGGCATTTCCAGACATGCCTAACAATTTAATCTCAGCAGATTTCTGATAGAACACTTGAGTTTCTCGATTTTTTATCGGATTCTCGGTGTTCGAAGAGATCGAGGAATCCACCCTGAGTGTAAAATGTTCGTGGAGTGCAAAGGAGCAGCTTCTGTCCGCGTTGTGGAAAGCACCGCGATATTCGCGAGCGTGGTCGTAGGGGGGTAGGGGGGTTGGGGGGCAGGGCGATGAGCCGCGCGGAGAATCAAGCCGGTAGATTAGGTAGGGCCGCGTCTCAGCAGTCTGCCGGCAATTTGAGAGCGTTTGCGAGGTCCATTAACGGGGGTAACTCTTCACGACCGGCCGCCACGAAGATTCAATTTGAATGCTAACCAGAATAGGAAGTTCGCGCCGGAGCCCCGCCGTAGCGCGTATACGTTACGCTGCCCCTTCCTGCCCGGTCTCCACCCCGGGCCCCCCGCTACCGCCCTTCGCCACCCTGTTATTGCCAATTTCGGCGCGTTTCTGCAGCCCACTTTGCGATCGTTTAGATTATCATCTCTCCCGGTTTCTCTTTCTCTCGTCTCGACGTTAGGGGCACAGACGCGTTTCCCCTACCCCCATCGTCCTCTGTATGCTCTACCTTTCCCTCGGTACCTAACGTTTCCGGAGATAATTGAACTTTATTAGAGATCGTCGTCGACGGAACGTCAGCCCTCGCGCTCACCCCGGGGCCGATTCGAATCGGCTCGGTTTAACGATTACCCGCCTCTTCTCCTTGTCTTTTCACCCTCCCCTCCGCATCTCGCGATACCCCTTGGACCGTCGACCTTCGCGAACGCCGAATAACCTGCAATTTTATTACACATGCGTGGATCGGTTCTGCGATTCCTAGACAACCTCCGTAGGCTGTCGAGCACGCGAGATTCTCACAAAATCGTCCCCAAATTTTATTACACGGCTAGATCACTACCAAATAACGCTAGAAGCGAGTCGAAAAAGCGTCGAAAGAATTCCTAGACGAGCCTCGAAGGCTGTTGGGATCGAGCGAGGGTGGAAATGGAGCGGAGACGAACGTCGCGGCGAGCCGGAAGTCGCGAGAATCGATTACCCCCCGGGGTGTGGGGACACGAGGGTGGCGCGAGCTTATTGAAATTCGGCCGCGGCCTCGTGGCCATTAAAATTTCAGGGATTAATGTTAGCAGCGGTGAAAAGCGCTCCGGTGGCTGGCTGGTAAGAAAACGAACGCGCCCCTTCGTGGGGCTGGTCCCGGCGTCGTTTCATCATTCCCGCGTCAATTAGACGATCCCTAATCGCGAGTCGGTCCATAAACCGTGAATTATGCTTGTTATTCGCGGATACCGGCGGCCCGTTTGTCCTCTTTTTCTTCGATCGGAAGTCGTTCCGCGAGCGATCGAGGCTCGTTATCGGTGAGGATCGACGAGCGTCGCGCGCACCTGTCGCGAAATATCGCTCGTTAGGAATCGCAGGAAGGGCCGCGGAGGTTTGGGATTAGGCTCGTGCGAGGATCGTCGCCGATAATAATATTCACGGTAGCCCGAGCACTGCGGGGCCGGCAACAATAACGGTGCAACGGAACGTGCATGCCACTGTTACCGGAGCGATTCATGGTTATTGATTAGTATATGGTGGCAGGAAGACGGGAGGCGGCGGTGGCAGCGTAGCGCTCGCATCCCCGGAGGGCTTGTACGACGACGTGTACGCGTGTATAGCTTCTGCGCGTCGCTAAGATATTCGCAGGGCCCCGGGCCACCCTCAGAAACAACAATGTCAACTTAACCGTGCGCGCCCTGGCCCGCAATCGTTTGAATAGTATAATGTGGCTTTCGTGTTACGCGCCCCGCTGCTCTCCGCGCGACGTCCATCGATACCCGCCTTCGACGCTTGCCTTCTAACCCAACCGTATCGCCTTACGGCCTCGAACTTTTCCTTTTCTTTCGATTCACCCAACGAAAATCCCTTTTTTCAACGCAATTCTTATGCATCCTCTTCACCTACTACTGGTTGACATTATTAGGGGTGCTTCGTCTGAATCAAATGAGCGAAAAATATTAATAGTAACCACCTCGAATAGAATAATTTAACACTGAGCAGGTGTATTGCTGATACCTGAAGAAAACTGAAATCTCGATTCTTACGTATCTTCACCAGACAAGGAGGAAAGGTTTATTCAGTTCGTATCGGTTAATATGCCCTCGAATACACGTTCGTTTATGTCAATGTAAGATATACGCCCGCGTCAGGTGCTAGGTCTATGTTAATTCCAAAGGTCGGATATAATTAGATCGAGTTTTACAAGACTGGTTGGAAAAGAGGTCGTAATAAAGTATATCGCGATGCAAGCACAGGTGATGTATAGTTGCACCTATGAATCCATATACATACGATCAGATACGCATGAGATATCGCGTACAATTAGATATGATCTTGTACAATCGTGGGCGATAATGCAAGTTCGTATGTGACATTATTCGACAATATACGATTCCATATATTGCCATGTACCAAGTATGATCCAGACACGGTCCCATACGATGGTGAATGACCATTCACGTTCGGACATGTAGTATGTCACTGCGTATCTGACATCAGATATGACGTATACGATCATGAGCGTTACGTATCCATTCGCGTATCATTTCATTTCCTTCGAGATTTATAGATCGTTTCGCTTTTGGAAACTTTTTGCATCGAGGGAAAATTAAATTTTGATATTATTATATTTATTCATGAAACGAACAGACGCTTTCTGCATGCTTCCCAAACAAGCACACGTCATAAATCTGTAAAATCCAAACTAGTTGCAAAAATTGTTCACCACAGCCGCGTTCCTGCCGCGAACGTTTATTTCACGAATATATTTATTTACTTAATTAACGTCCATATTGCACAAAACACAAATACAGACACTTTACGAGAACGTTCGACAAGGCAGATGCTTTCAAAGTTTGACCCAAATCTGACAGATCCGTAGATCCAGGGTTAATCAGCAGATCTAATTACTAGGCCAGAGATTTCATTTTTTTATAATTAGGAAAGAAATGAGGTTCCTTTAACCCCTCTTCTCGAGCTCTAAATTTATAAAAATAAAAGATTCTAAAAGCCATCGCTTGGATTCAATTTATCATCGTTTCCGCGTCTGTTGGACGGTAACGCG